TGAACGAAGGAAAATCATGCAGCGAAAAACACCAAAAGGAAGCAGAGGACGAATCTAACTTACCAGGACCAAGTACGCCCTCTCCTATAAAACAAACGATCATTACACTGTGAATATTGAAAATGGAAATTTATCGTGAATTCATAAATTTACAACGTCATTAACGTGCCTTTGATGTCCCGAAGATCCTTGGCACAGATCGTGAAGGCGGCAGGCTGACCAGCAGTACCACCACAGAGACCAGCACCGTAAACTGTGACGAATCCTTCACCAATCTGTTCTACCTCAAAGGTGAAAGGGCTACCTGAAAAAATATCAGTCCGTAATGACGATTTTTATCTTCACGAGATCATACCTTTAACGTGAGCACCATTTTGCTTGATGTGAAGCTCGTGGATGCCTCTCTCTTGCGGTTGATAGCGGACCGTAATCGAGCCGTCGTCATTCTCGATGACAGTCGGAACGTCCACGCTCTTACTTGGAAGTATCACCTCAGCCGTTACTTTGCCGGCTCCAGCATTTAAGGCAAAGTTCCAGAACTGCTCTGGCAAACCCTCGAACGATCCCAGCAACTTGTTCTGTTTTTTCAGTTCATCAAAATCTTCTCTCGAAACAGCCTAAAACACAAGTACTCATCAATAGAATAATATTTGCCTGAAATATGTTTCAGTGATTGCCATATATGTTGCTCATACATCTGCTGTTTTTACTGACTGTTATTGATATATGTTCACTGCTTGTACGGCTTTTTTCCTTATTCGCAATTGACTCATTTGTATCATTTCCATCGTAAAACTAGTAAGCATTACAAACAGATTATTTAAAGCAATTACGCTTTCTAACTTTCAAGTTTAAGCTGAATCAAGGGTGTGCTGCAACTAATTTTCATGTATTCACCAGCGTATGACAGTCACATACTTCCTACTTGTGGATACCCAAAGTTCAACATGGATATGGCACACTCAACAGATGAATACTGTGTACCTCCTTGGTTCAAAAAGAATCAGATTCCAAAATTCTTCATCTTCAAAGAAGCCATGAGAGCCATCGAAACTATACTATGCAGTGCTCCTCTGTTCAGCCTGTCCGAGCTCTCGAGCATGTACTGTCAAAACCCAAAGCAAGCGAACGTTGCCAACGAGAGCACCGCAAAATCCAAGGCAAGAATGACTTTACCAAGTTACAAGACTTGTAAGGCCCTAATCTCATACCGACTCAGATCATGGAAAGTGTTCTTGCATATCGCCCGCAGCCGATGGCGCCAGTTTTAGACGCTTTTTGAAGAACAGATAAATATTCAACAGAATTCCTCTGTGGCAAATAAATTTGCGACCCCAAAGCCATCCGGATGCCACATGGTCCAGAAACAATGCACTACCCTGAATCGATTTGGACGACACACATCAAAATAAGAAGCAATCTGAAAATCGTATGATTTCAATTATTCTGACTAGAGAGCCAACCAGATGGAGGAAAGCACAGAAGTTTGAAGCGGAAATTGCATCACTGGGGCGGGAGGGTATTGCATCCTCGATGTCAATATTAGGTTTGGATATATAGTTGCTGTAGCAATGTAGGAGAAAGGTTCATTTTCTGCTCTCTATGACGGAGTGCTGGCAATGACCAAAATGCGTGGTCGTATGACAAGCTGAACTACGATAGAGCATGTATCCTAAAGCCATTACGACGGCTGTGAATGACTGTTGCAAACCTAGAGAGGTCGACTAATGGGGCAATGTTGACTGCGGCTGACAGTTCTCCGTTGCCCTTGAAGTAGTACTGTCCAAGAAACGAACACCCGAACAGCTTAGTGATATACCCTAATTGCAAACGATGGTTATGGTCACTGAAATTAATTATATTAGTTGCCAAAGGAAGCACGATGAGATACTTCAGCTATACCGTCTCCCCTTTGATCGAGGGTCATTGACCAGTGGTCAAGCGAAAAAACAGTTGGAAGACTGTTTGTATAAACCGCTGAATAAAAGATGAAAATTGTTCCACCATTTATATTTCAATATCGCTTAACTATCTTAATATAGTTAGTGAAGGATTGACTGTCGTATCCACTGCCTTGTCGATTGACCTTCAGGCTGTCCTCTCCATTGCTAACGCAGAAACAGTCAATGCCATGATCTAAGCGTAAGGTCGTCATATCATCTCAATCTGTTATGAACTCACAATTTATGCTTCACAACATACATTTTTTAAATAAATACTTCGAGCATGCAGCCGTAAAAGTCTTCTAATAACTATTCCTGAAATCTCCAATAATATTATAATACTGATACCGTTTTACTTCTCTCCTTTGGCCTGAGACTGGAAAATACGAATAATAGAAAAAATGGATATAATTTCAAAATTGCACGATAAAACAGTTAATCATGCATTTGTCCTTAATATATGCTATGCTATTCTTCAATGACGCGTTCTTACCCTGATTATCCATTCGCCATACTTAATTGGATTTCCTCCATATTTAATAGCGGCTTTGTACGCTCCTGGACTGCGCAGTGTATAGTATATTGAGTAAACATTGTCGTTTGTTGACTTCTTCACATTAATGTCAGGTCTGCGAAGGTCGGGGTCGAGAGGAGTTATTCGACACGTAACGGCAGCATTCTGATCGTCGTCGCATATGACGCGGGTACAAAGGGAGTGATTGATGGGGACAATTTCTTCCCGACCTTCTGAAATCAAATCGATTATGATACAGAACAATTTTACACGGTTTTCATGGACATTTCAATGTCAACTCCTCACACATCCATGACATCGGGTAACTCACCTCACACTTTCAACATGGGTAAGTTGTTTGGACTAGAAAACATGTGTGAAAAGTCATTAGATTAAAAGAAGCATCGAACGTCTAAAAAACAACTATGAAGGAAATGAACAAGCGGCTCTAGCAAACGCATGAAAATCAGCGTGAAGGCGAAAAAATCAGTTCAATCAATTTTTGTCAAAACTACAAAATTCGATTGTTTTAATATCCTCGAATAGTCAGTATTGATCACTGTCTCATGTCTTTGCCATTTTGGCAGTTGCTTTCCCAACTGACTCTACAGAATGCATCGTTGACAGCCCCATTCGTAGTCATTAGCTTATCCTTGACATTATTTGTAATCACAGATAACTGACCTTTCCAATAATACTAATAAAACATTATTTTTCGGATACCAATCCTTTCCGATCATGTAGGGAAATATTTAGATGCAGTTTATTCATGACTGAGCTTTAACTGTAAAAGAATTCGGTTAAAATATCAATTTTCAATGTTCAACGGTTGGA